GACATTCCATAGAAGCAGAGGTTCAGAGCCAGTGGCCTGAAACAATACACACACTGAAAATGTGTGGAGGTTTGGGGAGGGCGCGGGACCCCTGGGTTGGGGGTAGAGCCAATGTCCTCTAAATCTTAAGAGACATCCAGACTCCAGCTAACCTCTGCGGTATGACCTTATGAGGGAAGACGTGCCATGAAATAGTTATATTTTCCGAATGAACTCAGTACGCTGGTGGATTTTATAAAAGTGAACATGAGCGAGGGGAGCCCTCAGTGAATGGTTTGAAGATGAGTAGGCTGGAGGGAGGACACCGATCTTGAGGTGGCCTGACACAGACTCAGTTCACATGGGCCCCCACGGGGCAGGCTGCCCAGCTGCGAGTCATGAGTTTAAACTGTCTGCTGGAGAACATCTCTGGGACTTTTCTGGTCCCTTAGCTTGTGAGTAATTGTTTCCTAGAAAACTTTTCCTAACCCCAAATGTTCCTCCTGAGCTGAAAGGCCGAGATCTAACAGAGAAGGCTGCAGAGAAGCAGGGGGTGGGCGACTGCCGCGCCCTGCTCCTGCGGGGAGGCCAGGGAGGCTGGGGAGGCTGCCAGGGAGGCCCAGGGAGGGCAGGGAGCCGGGCACCGGGCCACCTCTGGGGCCTGGATAAAAGTGGCTGACGTGCCGCTCCAGCTCTCCCCACCTTTCAGCACAGACACTGATGAGACTTTTCCTTTGATTCCTGTAAGTCATAGACCAGGGCTGTGCACGCCCTGTGTACAAGTGCATCTCTGAAAACTGCAGGAAATTCTGGCTGTCATTGGGAGAAACATACGACAGTCGAATAAAATTTGTGAAAACACCTCTCCCTGAAGCCGTGTCAAAAGGGTGAAGATTTAAAAAAAAAAAAAAGTTTTTTTAAGCTGTACATTTATTTTTGGAAACTCTACCCCCAGGTAGCGCTCAAACTCAGGACCCCCAGATCAAGAGTCACATGCTCTGCCGACTGAGCCAGCCAGGTGCCCCCAAAGTTGATGATTTTTTACGATGCAATTCAATACAATGAAATGATGACTCTCTTGCAGTTACTTCATAACAAATTCTGCCAGGCTCTCCCATCTTGCCCAAAGAAATTAGAAACAAAGGAAAAGGGTGAAGGGACTATTAGCCGGCTCAATTTTCTGGTTTTCTACAGTAATCACTGGATTTGCTGAAGGAGTATGTAAAATGTCTCAGCGTCATTTGGCCTCCGTGGGTTCTGTATTTACTAGCTACAGTTGCTAGTGAACATTAGTCAGGGAGAAGTGCTGCCTCTGGTTAAAGAGACTGGTGTGGATAATGGAACATTGTCATTTTCGCAGAGGCCAGCACTGGGTGTCTTGTTCCATCTATTCTTCCAAGGTGACATTGACACTCCTCCCATTGAAAGGTGGGGTCTATATCCCCTCTCCCCTGCCCCTAACCTGGGCAAGATTTACAACTGTTTCAACCAATAGAATATGTCGGAAGTGATGTCACAAAAGTGATGTTATACAAGGTGATACAGCATCCTTTCTGCCTTTTGGAATAGTCTCTTGGGAGCCATAAGGTATTACAAAAGAGCTCTGATTACCCCAAAGCTGACATGCTGTGTGGAAGCTCAGGCTGTATGGAGAGGCTCAGCTGAGGTTCAAGCCGACAGCCAGAATCAAATGCCAGATGTAGGAGTGAGGACGACTCCAGACGATTCTAGCTCCCAGCCATTGAGTCTTCCCAAATGAGGTCCGAGACGCTGTGGAGCAGAGAGAAGCTGTTTTTGCTATGCCCTCCAAATTCCAGAGCCACAGAATCTGGGAGTGTACGAAAGTAGTTGTTTTAACCTACTAAGTTTTGGGGTGGTTTATTACATGGCAAGAGTAATTGGAACAGATATGAAACCAGGAGCCCTATCTAGTCTCCGAGTCTTCCTGAGATACTTTGTTGGAGCACTAGAGCTTCTTGGAACACTATCTGAAAACTCTGAATTAACCAGTCTTTAAGGGCTCCAAATTCTATGTTTCCAATAAACCTGGAATGTAATGGTTTTATTAAGAAAGAGAAGCATCTTGCCTAGTGTTATGGATTGAATTGTGTCTCCCGTAGTGCCCCAAGATGGGCCACTTTGGCATGAAAATTGTTTTGCGCTGAAGGCAATTGAGAACCTGCAGGCTCAAGAGAAAATTTTGCCTCTCCCTTAACTACATAGAAGAATCTAAGTTGGGGTCTTTCCCAGAATAAGGGTTATTAGCAGAGAGAAATTTTATCTGACTTATGTATATGGCTGGGCAAATATCTAATTACCAAATATCTGCTCTTCTTATTACCCTGTGAATTGCATTCCTTCCCTTCGACGTCCTAGACCTCTACCCCCTTCTCCTTAGTACAGGATGACATATAGATTTCATTTTTCCTGTTTTCAGAACTTCCAGTCTGTGTGGATTCCCCACAGGTATGCTATTAAAATTGAATTTCTCCTGTTAATCTCTCTCGTATCAATTTGATTCTTAGTCCAGCTAGAGGGACCTTGAAGAGGACACGAATTTTTGCTCTCCAACACCCTCAAATGATGAAGTTCTAACCCCCAGTACCTGTGAATATGGTCTTATTTGAAAATAGGGTCTCTGCAGATTATCAAATTAAGATGAAATTAATAGGGTGGGCCCTAATCTAATATGATGGAGTTCTTTTAAAAAGGGGACGTTTCGGGGTACCTTGGGTGGCTCGGTCGGTTAAGTGACTGCCTTTGGCTCAAGTCATGATTTCGGGGTCCTGAGATTGAGCCCTGTGTGGGGCTCCCTGCTCAGCGGGGAGTCTGCTTGCCCATCTCCCTCTGCCCCTCCCCCCCGCTCATGCTCTCTCTCTCAAATAAATAAATAAATAAATAAAATCTTTAAAAAAGGGGAGGAGTTTGAACACAGAGGTAGACACACAGGGAGGATGCCAAATGAAAATGAAAGCAGAGATTGAGTGATGATGCATCTATAAGTTAAGGATTCCCAGAGATGGCCAACAAACCACTGAAAGACAGGAGAGAGGCATGGAGCAGATCTTCTCTTACAGCCCTTGGATACCACCAACTCTACTGACACCTTGAGCTAGCACTGAGACAATAAATTTGTGGAAGCCCCCCTGCATGTGGTAGTTTGTGATGGCAGCCGTAGGAAAATAATCAATCCCAGAACCAGTTTGGACAGGAATGATGGCCCTCGGGGCCCCAAGGCTATCAGTTAATAGAGTTAGGCTGTCCAAATGTTAGAGTATGATTTTAACAAAATTACTTCACAAAGACTATATGAAATCATAAAGGAATCCCCAGAACCATTGCAATTAAGATTAAAGAGCTATTATAATTTTTATATTAAAAATCACTGTTAGTTTATTATTTTTTTCTTAGACTCTAAAGGAGATACAAAACACAAGAGTTACGTGCTGCCTCTTTTGTGTCACTATTCCCAAGAGCTATATTACCTGAAACTATTACTAAGAATTGAATAAACACTTTTTTAAATGGTGATGTCTAGATATAACTTTAGTTGAAATAAATTCCTTGAAAGATTAAAAAAAATAAAGCCCATTTTCTACTTGTTTGCAAACTTTCTAACAAGATTCCCTAAATCAAGATAATCAGAATGGCCAGTTTGGTTCATGTTTGGTAATAACACCCTGCCTAATGTTGTGTCTTTTGTGTAAAATATTTAAACCCGGAAAACACTCATCCATGGTATGCCTGATCATAAAAATGTTTGTACCTTGCTTTGTTCAAATACGAAATCTACTGTATTCAAAGATTTACACACAAAAATAGTACAGCCTCTCACTTTTTTCCTACTTGGATACTGAGGATAACATTCAAACTTATGCAGGCCTGGGGCCATATGAGTACCCCCAGCTGAGTCTAAAATTGTCTTTAGTGACTTCCCTCTTATGTACTTCTGCACCCAAACAGAAATGCTTATATCTTGGTAGCCTGAACAATTGACTCAATTTATTCAACGTCAGTGTTTATCTCAATATTGTGTATAAATGAAAGGACCGGATGATGGGACATTGGAAGGTACCAGTGGACAGTCTTCTCCGTATGAGCACTTGCACTGAATCACCAGCTGTCTCCATTCTATGGCATTTCTCCACTCACGACTCCAAAATTTCTCAAGCTGCCCCACAATCCTGTGAGTTTTTTATTATTTTTTTAAAAGATTTTATTTGTCAGAGAGAGAGAGCATAAGGAGGGGGAGCAGCAGGCAGAGGGAGAGGGAGATGCAGGCTTCCCGCTAAGCAGGGAGCCCGACATGGGGCTCAATCTCAGGACCCCGGGATCATGACCTGAGCCAAAGGCAGACGCTTAACCGACTGAGCCACCCAGCCATCCCCCTGTGAGAATGCACACATTCATGGGGCCTCTTGCCACTCTCAGAATCCTTCCTCGTCTCAATAGACTTTCTCCCAAGGGCTATCAGTTGATTATCAATAAAATGATGGAGTCACAAATGACTACAGAAAAATACGGTGACAATTTAGCTTCAAAAGTTACCAATCACAATTTTCTTATGCCTAAGTGGTATAGAAGATTTTCTGTAAAAGGGCTTCCATAAGCCTGGGGTGTGTGTGGTTAAGGAGGGGAGGCTTTCTAGCTGAGCAGAACCATTCTGATTCCTTTAAGTAACCACAACCATTACCGTAACAGCGTTGGGTGAAAAGCTGAGCTGGACAGCAATCGCACAATCTGATCTGGCAAAGGTGCAGCCATTGCAAGCCAGACTCCATATCCAGGCGCTAATTACTCAGATGGAACTCCAGGGGCACCTGAGGTAGATGCAGCAGCACAGTGAATTAAGGAAGGAAATAATTAGTCACAATTGCAGAAACTAGCTAAACACGAAGTGAAAGAAGGCATGCGGCTCATTTCCTGCGGAGCACAGAGTCTTTGCAAAGGCAGATGCAAAAACCAGGAGAAATGCAAAAGATAAACATGACTTCTATAATCCAATAAGGGACGAATCTCAATTTTAAATTACAAAAATGAGTTTATTTAAGTTATTTTCTGTTCCTATGTACTACATAGCCAAATAACATGAAGACATTTCATCGGGAATTTGCACTATGACAAATCAACTTTCAAGCATTTTCTTGACAGTCTTAGAGGTTTTACCAGCATTTGACACAATCTGAACACAGAGAAAACAAGCGGCAGGAAAAACAACTGAGGGAGCACATAAGGCATTGAGTTTCAACCCCAGTAAAAATATTCATTCAAGAGGCAGAATCAGGTGGGAGAGGGGATAGTATTCAGCAGAGAGCAAATTTATAACTACATTAAAAACCATGCATTGGAACTGTTACTTAACATGGTCAACAAGTTAAGTTGTTCAAAGTACCCCTTGTCAAGGTCTTCTGATTAAAAAAAAAAATTCCTTGGTGGGGAGGACACTCTTCCCTCTCTCCAGAATGAACTTCCGGATGTTACCTTTGTCAGTGCATGGCTCTGGGAAGATGCAGTAACAGGGGACACCTTGTTTGAAAGGCTGGGATGAAATTGTATAAGAAGCATGTCACTGAGGCCTAAATCTAAAACATGAGTGGCAGGTCTGTTTGAGACTGTCTAAGTTTTCTTACAATGTGTCTGAATTGACAAGAAAAGATGAGAATCTCTTACAGACTCTTGAGGCATTCCCCTCACTCATAACTGTTTTGTTCACTTGTTTTACTAACTTAAGGTTACTATGGGACCCTACTGTGAGTTACTGAGATCCCACCAAAAATGTAACTGCTTGACGAGCATCACATCAGAATTAATGGGGGGACACACATTGAAATTACATGAAAATTTATCTTATCTATTCACTACTAAGTACTGCTGACCATTTTCATAGAGATGGATCACGAATGTTTACTGTTTATGTAAATATAGCATTACTATTGATCAGCTATTTGGTAGGAAATTGGAGAGTAGAATAAGTTACTTAAAAACGGACTTTTTTTAAAACGATAGAATTAGAAAAACAACAGCAAAACTCCTCTTGGGGGAAGTAGTAATAAGAGATATAAAGAATCTGTCTTCTTTTTTCTTAATATCAGAAATCATAAGACAGCATACTGCAAGAACTTGGACCTTCCTTATCCCAAGTAGCCTGAGAAAGACACCAGGTTGTTTAAAACCCTCTCTAAGAAGATGGCTTGAGAGGCAGATAAAGAGGCACCTCTGGATGAACAAAATACTCCTACCAGGCATACCTTCTAAGCCTTCCTGCTGAACAGAATGCCATGTAAATTGTTGGAACTCTTTACGCTACATGGGGAATGCAGGGAAAATGTGGGTGAACAAGAAAAATCTACAATTGTTTCACTGTATCAAGAACATTTATGTTAAAAGTGCTGTGTTAAGAACAAAACAAAACAAAACAAAACAAAACAAAAACCTAACACATAACTAGTTTTCTGAGGTGTGGTCTTCTTAGGGGAGTTCCACTGGGATACACTTCTATGCTTTGCTTCAGCCAGATCATCACCAGACATTATCTGTTCTACGCTTAACCATGAAAACTGACCAGCAAGCATACCCATCATGGGCTTCGAGCGGCCATAGGAGTTATGAGTACGTACGGTGCTTTTAGATTTACAGAAGCAGTTTCTCATGACTCTTGTAGAGGTTGCAGAAATAGAGCTAGTTGTTCCTTTTGAGCAAGAGCACTTGTAAAATATAGAAAGGGATTAGGTAAATACCCCTTTTACACTGAGTTGATCCATTAAAGGACTTTAGAAAAGTCAGCAGTTCATTTACCTGAGTTTCCCATTTAAAGGCTAAATGTAATTAAATACTTTTTGCTTATACATGTGAACAAAAACTTAACAATATTAAAAAGGGCCAGAGTCAGAAAATTGAGACTCAAAATGAAGTTTGAGACTTTGGAATTTTTATAAAATCTAATAGAAACATCTATGAATTTTCCTTCATATTTCCTTCATAGTTAAAGCATAAAGTCATAGAACAATACTGATTTACTGGATGTTATTTAGAATTTGGTTTAGGGGCCAGCCTGTGAAATCATTAAGCAAGCAAATCAGAGTCATTTGGAATTGGGAGCAAATTATTACAAGTGATAAAACTACTTACTAGTCACTTACTTTAGTTATGAACCCCATGTGAGATTATGAATTAACACCAGATAAAGACTTCAGCATAAATATGATTTTTAATCTGAATAGATCCTTTTTGAAGGGTGATATAGAAACTAACTATAAGTTTTATCCAGAAAAATAGCGCACCCAGTGTTTCACCAGTAGTTATTTAAGCTTACCTTTCAACAGGGTATTTTTGTCATGCTCAGTCATGGAGAATCTTCCAAGTCTTTTGTTTGTTTGCTTAAAACAAAGAGGGCTCTGTTTCTAAATGCAACACATTGTTCATAATCAGGATCCTAACTATATTCTGGAATCGAATATTTTCTCCTACAAGAAATATAGCCATGTTACTATTTTAAACATATCATTTCAATTCTAGGTGGGAAATAATTTACACAAAATCACCATTCTAACACTTGGACATAGAGCAGAAACAATAAAGCATCCTGGACTGCATGATTTCATTATTAAACAAATGAAAAGCATCTCTTTCCCAAATCCTTCACTCCATGACATCTCATAGCATCTCAAACACGATTGAGGTACGTGTGTCTGCTGAGTCGTTCCTATAGTTGTGTTCTGTACACGACTCAAAGCAGCACTGCACAAAATCCCCAGGATCGAGGCGCAAAATTTAAAAGCAATTATTTTGAAACCCCAAATCATCTTCCTATTTTCTTTCATTGTTGAGTCACAAAACTCTTTTAGATCAGACTAGAGCTCTGAAAACAGAGTGAATTTACTACATAAAACAAAATTCCCATGATCAGCAATACTGGTCCTGGATTGAGGGCTGAGTGTTTTCATTTTCCTGTCTTACACAGTTGAAGAATCAGTAACATTTTGCCCAAGATGCTATACTATGTTGGTTTAAATGCAAAGGTAAATAAAAGCTCTGCTGGCCATCAAGTACAAATTATTTCTAAGTGACATCCACTTAGCAATTTATTCACCCCTTTAAAAAAACAAGTAACAACCATTTTAGATGAGATGCTTATTTTAAGCCAAAAAGCAGAAAGAGTTTCTGTGCTCGCATCCCTTGCATCTGCAGCAAGGGCAGGATTACGGGAGCTCCATTTATGGAGATGAGGGTTATTCTGTGTACCAGGCAGAATGTGAGGAGATGGCCACCCCTGCCCGAAGCAACCAGTGCACCTGACTACAGTGCACCAGCCCTTTCATAGACTGCTTCAGCCGGGAATATTTTTTCCATCTGATGTACCCACATATCAAGATATCAAAGGTTATTACATTACTTAAAAACCAGGCTTCTGATTCTGATTTTTAAATTTAATTACCTATTTTAATTAAAATAAATCTAGCTTCTCTAAGGTTGTTCAGCAGTACTACATAGCAATATTAAGATGAAGGGCAGGGGGAGGAGAGCCTCTGTATTTTGTTTTTAAATGATATTTTTGAAATGCTGGCGAGAACGCAAATCAGTTAGATGATAAATGACCAATTCAGATCAGCCAACCATGGAAGATTATTGTCTTCACTCACCACAAAATCCTAGCCTAACGATCATGTTGACTGTCAGTTAGGTATATGAAATAACACAAGTTAGGGTTCTGTTGGAGATGAGGAGAAATTTTGAAAACAATGGCCTGTGGCAATGCACTTATGTGAATTTACACTCCAGAGAAGAGTTTTCTATAGGATGAAGGACTTGGCCAATGCAGAAGGCAGCTGGTATTACAATGACCAGCACGGACTACTTGGTACATACACAATGAAAACAAAAGGACCCTGGACAGGTGTAAACAAGCAAAAAATGACCTTGGCAAAACATCTATTTAAAAAATACCAAAAAGCATGCAACTTAAAATTCCCTCCCTTTCACAAGAATGAAATGAAACAAACAAACAAACAAACAAACAAAAAAACAGATGGAACCACCTGTTTCTCTCAGTAGAAAACAATAATAGATACATTAGGTTCCAGGACAAATAAAACTTTAAAATATTAATATTGAAAAAATACAATTAAATTTTTATTAAAAAATACATACTCCTTACTCAATCTTTGTGTACATTTTGTTTTGTGTGAAAAAGAAAAAAAATAAAAATAAAATAGGAAAGGCATTAAGACTACCTAATTATTTATACTGTATTTGGTAGAAGCACATTTCAGTCAAGCTTTAAAGAAAAATAAGTTATTCTGCTTTCATTTGTTCTCGGACATCAGAAGGCAGAGTTTCAAACAGAGCATCTTCCACAACCAACCCGGCTCGTTTCAGGGCCCGACAGTCACCCAGTTCTGGAGGGAGGATTTCAAAGTGATTACCTTTAACGTCTAAGTAGGAAAGGAATAATAAATTTCCAATTTTCGGTGAAAGTATGGAGAGGCTGTTTTTCCCAATCTTCAGAGTTTTAAGTTTCTTGCAGAAGTAGAGTTCGTCTGGAAGGCTCTCCACTTTGTTACAAGTGATGGAAAAATACTGTAAACTCTGTAGAACTCCGATTTCGGGTGGGATGAACCGAATGTCATTGTAGGACAAGTCCAAGTATCGGATTTTGTTGCATAGGAAGAGGTGGGAAGGCAGCACCTCTATTTTGTTGTGACTGAAGGCCAGGCGCTCCAGGCTGGTGAGTTTCTTGATATGCTCTGGGATGTAGGTGATGCCATTGTGCCACAATTTCAGCACCGTCAACTTCCTCAAGTGCTGGAAGCTAACGATTTCTTCTATAGATTTCAGATTATTCTCTTTGAGGTCCAATTCCTGGAGGCTGAGCAGACTAAACACAGCATGGGGAATGCGCTCCAGGTCGCAGTGGACCAGCTCCAGCTCCGTCAGATTGGTCATCTTCTTTAAGTTGTTGAGCATCACCAGCTTGGTGCCATCGTTATGGATGCACATCTTCTGGAGATGGCTGGAAACGTCCACCACTGCCTGAGGGATTTTGGAAACGTTGCTTTTGATAGAGAGAATTTTAAGGCTTTTGAGATCCCGCAGAGACTCAAGGGTGACATTTTTGGAAATATCATGACTTAGAGAGCCGACCAGGTAGAGCTCTTCCAGATTCCGGAGCCCATACATCCAGGGGGGCAGCTCCCTCATATCATCAAACTTGACGCTCAAGACCTTGAGGTTTTCCTTCAGGAAAGAGAGTGCCGCACTGTGGATTTTGACTGAGCACTGGTGTAGCGAGAGCTCTTGGAGATTGTCTAGCTGCGCGATGGTGGCTGGGATCATGACGTTCTTGATGATTTCAAGTTTTAGAGACTGCAACTCTGTGATCTCAAAGACTGTGTCTGGAAGGCCAGAGAGCATAATAAGAGGCAATTCCAACCGGTTATGGGCATTCGTCTGCAGCTTCTGCCTCAGTTTATCGGGAGTCCACTCATTATTTAAGTTTAGCTGCTTTAATTTGTTCTCACTCACTTCAGATAGGAACACCGCAAATCTCTTGGAATACAGTGGGTCATACTGATCTATCATATGAAGCATAAACGCAAAGTCATTCTTCACATCCGGAATATCATCAATCCCAGTCTCCTGCCGGACGTACTCGAAAGAATATTCCCGTAGAGAACGGTAGAAGAGCCAGTATAAGGTGTAAAGGCATGTCAACCCGTAGATACTCACAAAACACAGGTAGCAAAAGGACAGCTTTGAGAACAAGTGTGCCATGGTGTGATTACAAGAGAAGTTTTTATATCCAGTCATATCCTGAATGTCCACGTTACAGTCCACAGTAAACTGGACTTTGGAAACCAGGGCGCTATTATACCCAATGATGATTAGGAATTTTATAACTTTAAGCACCGTCTGGCGAACGTACATAGCATAGAGTATATCACCTTCTTCGACGTGCAGCCTGAACTTCTTCACCTTCTCAAATAAGGCCTTTGCTTGCTCACCTTCCTTCTTATCCAGAGCTCCTGCAGTGGATTTGTCAACCACGAACTTCTCAGGAATGGACTTTAACGACGGAGAGTTGACCAGGCTGCCTTCCGGACCGGACTGGACGGTGTTGGACCTGCTCATGTTGTTCTTCCTGTTGTCCTTTTCCTCTGAATCCTCCCCAGACACTTCCGATAAAGCCCGTGTGGTCCAAGGAGAGTCAAAACACTTCCCCAGGATCGAGATGAAATGTTCTATTTTGGAGCTGGAGCCAGGGAACTTGAACCAAAAGTTGCTGCAGAGCATGAAGACCAGGGTATGGATGAGGACCAGGTAAGGGAAATACTTGGCATACCAGTGGAGGGCTCGCTCGTAACACATCTGGTTTATAAAACTGTACTGCTGGAGGTCCAAGTCCGTCTTCAGCCCTTTCATTTCCACGGTGGCGGGGTTGGGAGGAGACGGCTTAGGGGGAGGCAGCGGGGTGGTGCTGGCAACTGCTTGAGAGACATTGGACACGGAAGAGTGATTCTGAGAAGGCTGGACTCTTTTTGGAAGGCAGATGATCTTGTCTTGCATGACCTGAAACACAGAAGTAATGTTGTCAAATTACATTATTCGAAGAGCTCCGATAATGTCATTAGTGTGAAGCAAGCAGCAATAACATCCAATAAATGTCCATTTCCTTCGCCTGGAGAATACAATGCTCGATTCCAGCACCAGGATTTCATTCCCGGCCCACGTGCTGGGAAAATGAAATATTTGACTTTGCTCATCATGTGTGAGTTATGACATAAAACACGGCAGTTTTCTTTCTTTCTTAAGATTTTCTATTAGTTATTTGAGAGAGGGAATGAGAGAGAGAGAGCATGAGAGGGGGGAGGGTCAGAGGGAGAGGCAGACTCCCCGCTGAGCAGGGAGCCTGATGCGGGACTCGATCCCGGGACTCCAGGATCATGACCTGAGCCGAAGGCAGTCACTTAACCAACTGAGCCACCCAGGTGCCCAACACAGTGGTTTTCTTAGGCCACAGAAGAACTCACAACAAAATAAGTATTTAAAGAACATTCACATGTTTTAAACTTTTGCGTTTCTTCTCTCCCTGAAACCTGGGAGAATCAGTCATTGGTCTGGGAAGTACGTCCCCTTATCAGACTCAATCCTGAACTGGATGGCTCCCCAGATTAGATGGGCCTGTGTATGAGAATTAACAGGATTGGCAGGAGGAAATGTGGAAGAAATTCCGGTCTTTATCATTCACCCCTTACTTTCTACCCATATCCCGGACTGCATGCATAGATGAATGCAAATGGCCTTCATACAATGGGAATTCACTACGCTTTTAGAAAAACCATTTCATCTCTCCACAGAGAGATAGTCAAGAATACAGAAGTGCTCCATAGTAAAATAATTAGGTTTCAACTTGCTGGCTTTTCACAAAAAATATTACATTGAAAATTTGTATCCCTCTACCAATACTGCAATTTGTCAGAAAAAAAATTAGTAAGTCCTAAGACTGTCCAGTAGTCTCCTAACATTGCAATTTCGGTAAGAAAGAGGGCATCCTTTTTGCAGATGACGGAGTACGAGGCCAAATACTCTTTGAATCAACCTGGAGGAACTGTCCACAGGAACAATAAGCAAATAGTTCAGAGGGAGAATAACCACCAAGGAAATGACAGCGATAACATGTGGAATTAATAATGCAGGGAAAATCTATTTAAAAATGTCAAATGGCTGGAAACCCATAGCTTTCAGTGATTCTGCAATCGCAAAACATTTAGTGATTTCGGTAACAAACAGTAAAGCCCTTTATAGCAGTTATAGAAGCAGAAACTGAATCCACTGTGAAGTGGGCTGCTGTGACATGGGAATGGGACCACAAGTCGGTGACATGGGGGACACCGCCCACCAGACAGAAGTGCAAGGGCTGACAATGGAGTGGAGTGCCCAACACTTAGCAGAGTGCCCAATACAAAGGAGACCACCCGCATGTATCTGCTGAGAAAGTGGATGAATCCTGAACTGACACGAGTATTTCCGGTTCAGAGTTGTGTACATCTGCATGTGGCCCCTAGCTCTTCTAGGGAAGAAGGTATGGATGGTGATTATAGCGCTGACGGCAGAAAACTTCTGCTGTGTTTAATATGCAACTGAGCCTATTCTAAAAACGTCATGGGTATTCATTAATTGTCACCGGAATCCGATGAGGCAGGTACTCATTATTCCCATTTCACAGATGAGGAGACCAAGGCACAGAAAGGTTAAGTTGCTTGCTACTGTCATCCTGCTCAGGCCACCTGGATCCAGAGCCCACGTAATCTTACTTTTACTGAATTTCTAGAATTAAACCAAAAAGATCCCAATCTGACTTTATCATAACAAATTACCTTATGCAAATTATGTTCCAGGAAAAGAGCTTACCTCTTCAATACCCTATGCAGATAACAATGAAAGAATGATGTTAAGGGGAAGAGAAGAAGTCTCACTACAAGAGTTATAAAAGCTCTGTCCTGGAAGATAAAGTGGGGATCAATTATTTACTGTGTCAATCAGGAGAAGCAAGGAAGAAATCACACACATGACTGCATTTCTAGAACTCGGTGGCTACAGAGGTGTGAGAACTGAGCAGTGGCCTTCAAGCGTTTTTACCACTTACCTATGTCAGAGAAAAAATGTTGAGCGTGCCCACTCAGTATATGTATGTCTATTCATAATTACATCCATAAAGTCCTGTTGATCCATATGTGAAATATTAGGAAAGCTTAATTCCTTTCCTTTGAAGCTTAAAATAAATGCAGGCATACCTTGCAGGTTCGGTTCTGGACTACCACAATAAAGCAAATATTGCAACACAGTGAGTCAAATGGACTTTTTGGTTTTCCAGTGCACAGAAAAGTTACGTTTACACTATACTATGGTCTATTAAGAGGGCAAAAGTGTCACGTCAGAAAAATGTCCACTGTCATCTGAGCTTTCAGCAAGTCATAATCACTGGTCACAGATCACCAGAGCAACTATAATAATAATGAAGAAATTTGAAACATTGCAAGAATTACCAAAATGTGACACTGAGACAGGAAGCTAGTGAATGCTGTTGGAAAAATGGTGTCAATAGACCTGCTCGACCCAGGATTGCCACAAATCTTCCATTTGTGAAAAACACAGTATCTGCAAAATGCAATAAAATGAGGTGTGCCTGTCTAAATAAAAGTTTTCATTTTTATCTCACATCTCAACACAGCACCCTTTGCATTTCTGGGGGGTCAAGCACTCTACCTTGAAACCCCTGGAATAGAAAATAGCAGGAGGAAGCCTAGACAAATGCCAGACTACCCTCAAGGAATACAGAAGAGAGACAAATAAGCACTTTAGTGTTTGGAGTCATGTTCTGGACGTGCTCCCACTCGTGGTCTCATTTAATGCTCCAACAGTCTGTGTAGTAAGCAGAAGGTGGTGGTGAGAGATGAGCAGGCAAAGGGAGTGCTTCCCTGAGCACCTTCCCCAAGAGTGACACCTTCAAGCTTGAGTGTTAATATGGCATTGCTGGTGTTGTGATGAAAACACGGAAGACTTGGTTTGTGAAAGCAAGATCAGTTAGAAGGTAAAAAGGCAGGCACCTTCTTAAAGTGCTAACTCCCTGCCAAGCGACCAGGCAGACCCCCTTCCTGGCCCCCTGCCTAGCACTTCCCCAGGCTTGTTCCTAATGGTGGAAGATGATAGACCTATGGAGCTTGCTTGCATAAGGTTTCAGTATATCCATTGCACAAGGGTGCCAAGCAAATGGGGCAAACAAGGGTGGGCTGAAATCCTGCTGTGCTCCCCTCGGTGGGATGGAAGCCCCATCCTCTTGGGGCTATCCATGGTCACAAGGTGGGGATACTTTTTATATTCTGCACAAAGGTACCTAACTGGCTAGCATCTGCCATGCTAGGGAAGCAGGTCAGATTCTCCCCATTCTACAGAAGAAAAAAGCCAACTGAGGTTCAGAGAATGTCAGTAACTTGTCCAAGTTCACACAGCAGGAGCTTAAACCTGTCTCCTGTTTACAGCCTAGTGTTCTTCTACCCTTCCACACGTCTTCTCACCTCACCAAGCTTCTGCTAGGAGGGCTTCCCAGAGAACAGCCCAGCGTAGGGGAGGGAGACAGAGCTCATCTCCCCAAGTTCCTTTCAGTCTTCTGATGCCGGCTATTTCTCTTTCAATCTTCACGAAGACAGAATTTTTAAAAATGTGCCTACTTAAATCCCAGGAGGGGAAGGACGGTGAGCTACTTTCCAGCAGCTGTTAACTATTCAGAAGTGAGCACAGAGTAGAAAAAATACCGGAATTCAGTTGCTAAGGATGATAGCTGCCCCAGAGGCTGAGAGAACATTTCCTAAGAAGACTTCCGCAGAGACGCAGCTCAGAGTAGAATTCCCCCAAAACGTGACGGCTGGTTGCCTAATCCAGGACTGTGAGAAGGAACAGGGCAGGTTCAGGAGTCCAGCAGCAGGAGAGTGAGGATTTGAACAGTAAAGTGGCCACAGGGCAGAGGAAGGAAGTTGCCCCCGCCATGTTAAAGAGACACAGTATTTCTGAACATGGCAGCGCCGAGAACTGGGAGAAGGACGTGCATTTTCGAAGGTAGAAAAAAAGAGGGAAGGACCGACAAAAGTAAGGTGGCCAGGTTTTCCTAAAACAGCAGTGGCAACCACGACAACAAACGGCACAGGGTGCTTTGTGGTATCTTTGTAAAAAAACAGCAGCAGCTTGTAAGAACTTGAAATTCTTTGTTTCCTCTTCCCCGCTTTTTGGAGAAATTTGTTAATTAAACCGATATACCTCACTTCTCTTTACTTTTATTCATTTAAAGGTTAGAGCCCCAAACAAGCCTTACAGAAAGGCTGCAACACCAATTTCAAAGGAGCCTCAGGGTTGCAGGCTGCTGGAGCAGGACTGAGGGAGAGTGGCTGGGGGGTGAGCAGGGACAACCCCCCCCAACCTTGCTCATCCCCAGCTCATACACATGCATCACAGTGCCCCGGAATGCCACCATTTTCATCCAGAGGCAACCCTCAGAATGCCCTTTGGAGGAAAAGGGCTTGAGACCAGGAGCTACAAAGTGTATTTTTGAAGGGAGACTGGAGGGGGAGGGAGAGGGGGTAGGGGGAGAGAAAAAAAATGGAAAAAAAGCAGGATACACCAGAGAATCCAATCCAAAAATATAGCAAGGTGAGAAAGTTACTATCCTAAAGGCAGATATGAGAATAATTCTTGAATAAAAATCAACTGTGTTAAGGAAAATATCCGAACGGGTTTGGGAAGCAGGAGGGGAAGGATACAGAATAAGGTGAGTCCCTGAGAGCAAAGGTCAGACGAAGCCATGGCAACAAAAGTGGCCAACCCTACGCTATATGGGGATGTCCGGGCTTGAAGGTGGGAGGGGGTGAGTCAGCAGAGCAGAGAGGGGCTCAAATCAAAGAAAACAGGTCAGGCAACATGGTGGGAAGCTGGAGGATATACTCATTATTTCTATTTTGAGATATAAATACCTTGCAGTCTTGCCTGAAGCTTTGGTAAAAATCTGCTACACACACACA